CGCCCCCGCGGGTGCGCCGAGGGAAAGAAGCTCCTTCGAGCGGCGGCTCCCCCCCTCCCTCTCCTTTTGCACCGAGCTCTGCCCAGCCCGCCTCGCCGCTGCGGGCTCCGAAAGAGACAGGCACGCTCCCCCCGCCCACGCCCGGACCCAACCTCTGGCTCTTCCCTGCCAGCAGGGCCAGCTGCAGAGCGCGGGGAAAGGGGGTGGCGGCGTTTGAAGCCTGCCAGCCAACGTGCGCTCGCTATTCTCAGCCGGGCACACCACCAGGCTGCCTCTTGCAGCCGGCCGCAGCTTGCCAGCGCGCTCCCTGCCTAAACAGTCACTCCCTGCTAACGACGAGCCTGAGCTTGTAAGGAACTCGGCTAAGAGGAAGAAATGGCAACACTGCCCCAGAGTGTGAGTCAGACGTGCATTTGAAGCCTGCCAGCCAACGTGCGCTCGCTATTCTCAGCCGGGCACACCACCAGGCTGCCTCTTGCAGCCGGCCGCAGCTTGCCAGCGCGCTCCCTGCCTAAACAGTCACTCCCTGCTAACGACGAGCCTGAGCTTGTAAGGAACTCGGCTAAGAGGAAGAAATGGCAACACTGCCCCAGAGTGTGAGTCAGACGTGCAGAAAGACACAGCAACACAACGAGCATGGAGCAGGGGCGTTTCCGATTCCTACATGCCTGTGTCAGATATAGCTCGCTCTTTCGAAAGAGGCTTTTTCGAAAAATACTTTCGAAAAAGCTTCTTTCGAAAAAGAGCATCTAGACTACAATCAGTACTTTCGAACAAGCAAAAGAGCACTTTCGAAAAAAGGCGTTATTCCTCGTGAAATGAGGAGTACCGCCGTCGAAAGAAAAGCCGTGTTCTTTCGATTTAATTTCGAAAGAACATGGCTGTAGTCTAGACGCTGGTGAAGTTTTTTTTTTTTTAAAAAAAAAGGTTACTTTTTTCGAAAAAACCCTACAGTCTAGAGACAGCCCAAGTGTGTCTGTCTTTAGCCACTGCTGCTCTGCTCCAGGGTCCCACCTCTTGCACTTTCTGACAGACACGCTATTCACAGAGCCCTGGTCTATACTTATTTTGAAATAACAAGCAGAGCAGCCACACTATCATGCCTGTTATTTGAAAATAACGGGCTGGTTATTTCGAAAGCTATAATCCTGCTTTTAAAATAGCAGTAGTGTGGACACTCCACTTCTGCTATTTCGAAATAACAACTCCCCAGAGTCAGTCAAAGTAATTACTCCCTGGCTGTGTCTACATTGGCATCCCTTTCCGGAAAAGGGATGCTAATGAGACACATGGCAATTGCAAATCCGCGGGGGATTTAAATATCCCCCACGGCATTTGCATTTACATGGCTGCTGCTTTTTTCCGGCTTGGGGATAAGCCGGAGAAAAGCGCCAGTCTAAACGTGATTCTCTGGAAAATAAAGCCTTTTCTGGAGGATTTCTTATTCCTACTTTATGTATATAAAGTGTATTTAACCCTTTTTATTGTACATACTGTATACAGTATACTGTAATGTTTTCATTTTTTTAAGCCTTTTTTACCCTTTTTGCCAGAAGCAAGTTTATCCTTGATATTCCCGTGTGACTCATTTTTTGCTGAAGCTCACTCACTAGGCTCTTGCCATTTTGATGCCGGACTATCAGGAGTGCCGGACTATTGGATGCCAGACTATTGGAGTTTTACTGTAACTGGAAATCACCTTTCCACGCTCCCACCCCATTGCTGGATCTGGCCCCTGGGGGCAATGAAGCCCTTGGCACAAATGAGGGCTGGTTTACAGCTAATTTAACTTGTGCTGATTGGTAGCATTGAACTGACCTTGTTGAATTGTAGGTATACTGCAGTATAACTGTTAAGTAAAATCATAAGTAAGGGACAGTTGTCCTATCTGGTGACCTCTGGAGCTCCATTCTCTGCCCACACATCTTTCCTTGGGCACACACTTAGCATGAGTTCTAAAACAAACTCTACACTACCCAGTTTCCACCAAGTTGAGGTACCTAGGTAGGAGCCTTTTGCGCTGCTCCATATTGGAGAACAAGATCTGGTCCACTGTAGTAGTACCTAGCACTTATACAGGGATTTTCATCAGTAGATTTCAGAGCACTCCTACAAAGAAGGGCAGTATCATTATCCAGATTTTACAGATAGGGCAGCAACTGTAGATAAGTAAGTTGCCTTTCATCCAGGGGTTTGCATTATTAAAAGTCAAATGTACTAGAGCTGCCCATCTGTAGCTAGGGACTGAAGACCTCCAGTTCAGCAAGAGACGGAAGTATGTGCCTAAAGGTGAAAAGTCCCATCCAGAGCTTTTCATTTTTTATTTAGGTGCCTAAGTAAGGGCCTGATTTTCAAAAGTCCTCAATTCCATTGCTCATATTTCCAGAAAGAAGAAAATAAAGCCTGACATGCATTCTGATTCTATTGAAAACTTGGCTCATGTGTTGCATTTGAAAATCTTTTCCTAACCACAGTCTTCCATATTGAGTACCAAAAGTCATCCACTCTCTTATTTGCAAGTACACATGGCAAAAATGACTCAGGCTATGCCGTGGAAAATGAGCAAGTCCTGGAGCCTTGAGCTTAACTACTGTCCCTATAATCCTAATGAAGTGCTAACCTTTATGTTCTGTTAGGCTTAACTTCTGCTGTGGGTAGCAGTTGCCAAGCAACAAAAGTTCTCACAACAAACTTTTTGGTGGCCTATGTTTTGCTGGTGGCTGCAGTGACACTTTCTCTTAAAATATTTACCATTAGGAAAAACAAATAAATAAGTACATATACACATCCAAATCACTGTAATTTATTTATGTAGGGTTCGGTTGGGGGCATGTTTTGTTTTGGGGATTTTAACTCGGTAATAAAAATAATGTTATGAAAAATGACATTTGTATATTTGTTAATATCACTTTTTACAGCACACTTAGTAGCTACCTAGGAAGCTGTGGTTTGTTAATATTACAGCCTTGCAGTTAGCCACTAAGGATACAGCTACATTGCAGGCTATTTTAGAATACAAGTCACCCGTTATTTCAAA